GCCTCATTTCACATCTGCGAACTCACACAGGAGAGAAACCCTATGGATGCAGTGAATGCAGAAAATTTTTCTCACAGAAATCACAGCTCACTGAACACCGGATGATTCATACAGGAGAGAAAAAGTATGAGTGCAGCGAATGTCCAAAAGCTTTTATTCGGAAGGCAAAGTTTATTTCACATCAGAGAACTCACACAGGAGAGAAACCTTATGAGTGCAGGGAATGTCAGAAGGCTTTTAATAGTACAGCTCAGCTCACTAGACACCAGAAGTACCACACAGGAGAGAAACCCTATGAATGCAGTGAATGTGGGAAAGTCTACTCCCGCAAATCTAATCTAGCTTTTCATCAGAGAAATCACACAAGTGAGAAACCTTATGAATGCAGTCAGTGTCCAAAAACCTTTATTAGTAAGCCACATCTCATTAAGCATGAGAGAACTCATACAGGTGAGAAACTCGATGGATGCAGGGAATGTGGAAGAACCTTCTCTCTGAAATTTAACCTCACTTTACATTAGAAAACACATACAGGAGAAAAGCCCAGTGAATACAATCAGTCTCATAAAGCATTTATGCTTAGGTCATGGCTCATTGAACATCAGAGAACTCACACTGGAAAAAAAGCCCTTTTCATGCAAAGAATGTCCAAAAGCTTTAGACCAGAAGTCAGAACTCACTTTACATCAGAGTTCATACTGGAGAGAAGCCTTACCAGTGTGGCGAATGTCAAAGCCTTCAGCACTAAATCACTACTCGTTATACACCAGAGAACACACACAGGAGAAAAACCCTACAGATGCAGTGATTGTGGGAAAGTTTTCCCACAGAAGGCACAGCTCGTTGTACATTAGGGAACTCACACAGGAGAGAAACACTATGAATGCAGTGATTGTCAGAAATCTTGTAGCCAATAAGTCACAACTTTTCATACACCAGAGAACCCATGCAGGAGAAAAACCCTGTGTATGTAGTGAATGTGGGAAAGCTTTCATCTGTAAGCATGGTCTAAATAGACATCAAAGAACACATGAAGAGACACCCTATGAATGCAGTGAATGTGGGAATTCCTTTAGTGTCAAGTCACATCTCAGTAGCTACCAAAGATATCATACTGGAGAGAAATCACATGGATACAGAGAGAAATAAAGCACTCAAGAAAGCTATTCCAACATGAGATTACAGGTATATAGGAAAGAATTACACATACAGTGAATAAATAGAAATTTTCACTTAGATGTTTATTTTTCTGGAGAATTAAAATGAGAGAAATCAGTAACAGTACATAGATATAAAATCTACAGTAATTTGCTGTATTATTCATCAGGAAATGCATACAGGAGAGGAACTGAATTCAGCAAATATACAAAAGTTCACATAGAAGTCATAGCACATACAACAGAAAGACAGTCACTATGAATGTAGTAATTTTGTGAAAACTTGTAGAAGTGTACATTATTTTATATCAGAGACGCTCACATAGGAAAAACAAACTACACAAGACAGAAATGTTGCAATATTTTCATTGAGAAATCAAATTTCAGATGCATCAGAATTTACACCAGAGTAAATCCTATAAGAATAATAAATGTGAGAAAAACTCTTTACAAAAGTCACAAGCATGTAATATTCGAGAATTTACACCAAGGAATAACTCTGATTGCCATAAAGTGCTTGAAACTCTCTGATTATGAAAAAAATCTACAAATAATACATATGACAGTGAATTTATTAAATGGGATGACTGCACCATGAAATGCAACTTTATTGTGTATAAGCAATATTTAGGAAAAATTAAGCCAGGATAATGAATTGAGGAAATCATTTCCTCTAGAAATAATAAGGAAGTCCTGTTCTTGCTGTGAGTACTAAGTTGATAAAATATTTCAAGAGGTTTTCAGTATGAAGAAGAGATAGGTATTCACTGTGGGCTGTGAGACTAAGTGTATGAATAAATGAAGTGATCAAAACAAGATGCAGTTACCAACTATGTCAGCTGTAGCTGGGTATTTTCTGACAATATCATGGAACCTGAATTTTGTAGCATTTTGAGTTTTGTATGTAAGTACAATATAGGTATAATGAATACATGTATTGTAACTATTTTGAAATAATTTCAAAATTACAGAAAAGTTGCAAGAATAATACAAAGAACGCTTCATCCAGATTCCTCAATTATTACCATTTTACTACATTTGCTTTATTATATTCTGTCTCCATACATACATATTATTTTGTTTTTCTGAACCATTTGAGAGCAAATTTCACACATGATGCCTCCAGTGTGTGTTTACTAACAACAGGGATGTTCTCCAACACAATAACAGTATAGCTATTAAAATCAGGAACTTTGATCCAATACTGTTATATAATTTAGAAATTTTATTCAGTTTGTCAATTCTCTAATACTATGCTTTATAACAAAAAGAAACAAGGAAAACCTGGATTCAAGACCATATATTGTATATAATTGTCATATTTCTTTAGATTACTGCAAGGTGAAATGGTTCCTGTTTTTGTCCTTCATGACTTAAGGTTACTTATTTTATAGAATAGCCTTCAATTTAAGTTTGAGGCCTAATGACTGGTTATGTATTTTTGGCAGGAATACTACATAAATTATATTGTATCCTCATGTGCATCATGTCAGAAAGCATATGATTTTGGTTTGTCTTATTACTGACAATATAAACTTTGGTCAATTGGTTGGATGTTGTCTGCTTGGTTTCTCTACTGTAAAGCTGTTTTCCCCTTAGAAATTAATAAATTAAAGAGATAATTTGAGACTATGTACATATCCTGTTCCTCATCAAACATTCGTTAGTTTTAGCAACCACTGATTATTCTTATCTGGCTCAATTATTACCATGATAGCTGTAAAATAGTGATTTTCTAATTCTATTCTGTATATACCAGGGATGCCAAAAAAATGTATATACATTTTAAGGGATGTTATCTATGTATCACTTTTCGAAGTTGAATTGAATAACAGTAGCATTGTATAGTATGACGTTTGTCCAAAAGATGGTGTTAATCAAATGAATGCTATCGTCACCATGCGACAGGCAGGACAGTCAAAGAAGATGGTGGAAGCACATTGTTGTTCGAAGAATGCAAGATCATTTTGAAGTGGTATTTGAAATTCAAGAATGTTGTGGAAGTACACAACAATGAAGGTGTGAGTATGCAACAGAATCTCCAACATGCCTAACAATTGCACGCATTCGTGATAAGTTTGAGACGCATGGTACTGTGTGTGATGTGCACAAGAGAAGATCTGGGAGGCCTCGCACAGCAACAAGTCCTGCTGCTTCTGCTATGGTGTTGGGACAGTTTACACACTCACCACAGAAATATACCAAACTGTTTGCCGTAATCAGAATTGCCTGGACACTGGTGGTAACCATTTTGAGCACCTCTTGTAATTGCAGAATTCAAACGTGACTTGTATTCGTCGTTGTTAGTGTTATATATTGAGTATTGCAATTTTAATACAGTTTTTTCCTTTCTTAAAATGTGTACATTTTTTGGCATCCTCTATTTAATATTTGGTATTCTGTAAGAAGAGCTTTCCTTTCTCCCCCATTTATTTATTTTTTTAAATATCATTGTAGATTCAAGAGTTATTTTATTCACTGGTTTATCATCTTTGCTATCAGTGTTTTGAGCTCATATTTCCTCAGATTTGACCAGTCCTGTTAATTTGGCCTCTATATTTTTATGACATGTTCCCACTATTTTATGAGTACTTCTTTTTGGTCCGAGAATATTGTCCAGGCTCCTTTATCTTCCTTGTCCCCTACTACTGACTTCTCCAAGGAGTCCTAGGTTTTTAAGGACTCAAACAGAGTTGTGTTTAGAAACCAAGGTCAGGGTGCTAGGTGTACCCTTACTACTGAGGTCATTGCTTTTAGGCTGTCTCAGTGGACAGAACTAGGAAACACACATACTCATATATCTGTGTTTATGTGTGTATATATGTGTACATATATGTATATAACCATGAATCACACTGATAATTCTCATTTTAACCCAACACCTTGGGTTCATTCTTCACACTCTCCGTATTTGTTACTCTGTTCTCCAATAGTGTGAAGATCTTTCTCCCATTCTAAAAATACGTATTTTCTCAATCTCTAGATTACACAGAAAGGAATTTAAGAGTAGCTAGCCCATACTGTTGTGTAAAATACTGACTAGAGTTAATATTCATTTATAGCTCTTTTGGTCCCAAATATGAAGGAGTGTAGTTAAAATGCTGTGTTGAAATGTTACTTGGGACAGTTTTTAAAATCACTATGATGTGATTATGAATAATATATAATTAGATTAGTTATTTTTGGTTTGTATTCTATTAGAATTTTTCTACCAATGCTTGTTGATGTTATTTATTTAGTTTTGGTTTGCAGAACATTAACATGGTTCCAGAAGTCAAAACATACTGAAAGGTATACTCAGCAAAGTAAGTCATGTGATTTTTAGTTTATAGACTGTCCATAAAAATTCCAGCATTTGTACTTTATAACACTGCAGCATCATTACTGAAGTAGTATGTTAATTACTATGCCATCTACTTATGTTTTTGGATGAGGATGACTCAGGTACAGAGGGAAGTATGAGATTGTCTTTCCCAATATTTCTGAAAGGTTTGAAACTCTGCTTTCTATGCTCATTTGTGAACATGGAATAGGAATAAGGCTAGTTCCTCTTATAAAAAAGGATAGCTGGTTATTGTATATTTTTACATACGCAAAGGCAAAAACACGTGTTCATCAGTAGGACACTATGTACCACAGTGAAAAGAAATGACCTAGAACTACATTTATCAGTATGATTGAATCTCACAAATAGAATGTGACTGAGAAATCTGATCATAGAAAGCAGTACACTCTCCATCAAATCACGTACATCAAGAGGTCCAAATCTTCATGTCATTTTAAGAACGCTCATGAAACTCACCAGGCCATCAAACATATGCATATCGGAAAAGCCACCAAGTATCTAAAGGATGTCATGTTACAGGAGCAATGTGTACCATTCTGCCGTTACAATGGTAGAGTTGGTAGGTGTGCCCAGGCCAAACAGTGGGGTTGAACGCAGAATGGGTGGACCAAAAAGAGTGCAGAATTTTTTGCTGCACATGCTTAGAAATGCAGAGAGTAATGCTGAACTTAAGGGTTTATATGTAGACTGGTCATTGAGCACAGCCAGGTGAACAAAGCTCCCAAGATGCAGCATGGAAGTTACCGAGCTCATGGGCGGATTAACCCATGCATGAGCTTCCCCTGCCACATGGAGACAATCATCACTGAGAAAGAGCATCTTGTTCCTAAACCAGATGAGGACATTGCACAGAAGAGAAAGATCTCACAGAAGAAACTGAAGAAACAAATTTATGGCCCAGGAGTAAATTCGGCATCAAATAAATGCTAATAAAAGAAAAATAAGTACAGTCCTATTTAATAAGATTAAGTAGCATAAAAAAATTTCTTAGAAGTACATATATAGCAAAATTGTAAAGAAAAGTAGGGGAATGCTAGAATTTACCATAGTAATTCTTGGTGTGAAGGTGTGCTCAGAGAAGGGCATGGAAGAAGCTTCCAGCAGTGTCGAGAATGTTCTATTAAGCCTGGTGATAGATATGAGCCTTCAGTAATTTTTTTTCTATCTTACATATAATAGATAGTCCTTTGTGTGACATATATTACAATTTCAAGAAGTATTAGTATGTAAATAAAACATCAACACATCACTTTCTTTTGTTTTCACTGTAATAGCTGATTGACAAAAAGTATAACTACTTTGGAATAAAGGAACCAGTTGTATTTGAACAGTAAGATTTTATAGTGTCTTTCCATTGTTTTTAATCATCTTAGGGTTTCATGAAGTGTCTGACAGTAAAGTCAGAACCACGCTGTACTGGTCAAATACTTCAGAAATCTACTCTATGGAGATTTTAGAACAGTAAGAATTAAATTACTTGACTTCATTTTTGCTTCACTGCAAATTTCCACATGACAAATCATTAAGAACTGTTTTAAAAAATTATTGCTTTAAAGAAATAGGTATTTTTCCTTCCAGGTATTGCCTTATCAGTGTAAGAAAACCTACCTATGCAAAACCACGAAAGTGCTAAGTATGCTTCCCATTAAAATTGCTTGATACAAACAGTACTTTCATGCCAAAAAACACAAACCACTTCTCTTCAATGTTGGTTAACCTAAAAGATAAATTTATATTAATCTTGATTCTAGTTTCTGAAAGTTACATTCCATTTTAAGCACAATTTTTGTATTGAATGGGTGGATTTAAAAGTAAACTGAAGTGTTTCCTCCTCTACTCTGGGAGAGTTTGTTCTATGGTTGGTGCTATTTCTTCCTGAAATGTTTGATAGAATTCACAGGTGAAGCAATGCAGGCCTGGAGTTGACTTTATGGTGTTTGATTAGGAATTCACTTTCTTAGCATTATACTATTTAGATTTTCTAGTTCTTTGTGTCAATTTCATGTGTTATGCTTTTCAAAGAATTTATTTCAACTAAATTGTTAAATAATAGTGACAAAATTATTTATAATACCCTTTTAATGTGTTCAGGATCATTATGTAATGATGTCCCTCTTTTTCATTCCTAAGATAATTTGTGTTTTCTCTCTTGATTAATGTTAGGGATTTCTCAATTTTAGTGATATCTTAACATAACCTACTTTTTGAATGTTGTTTTCTCTATTGATCTCTATTTCATTTATTTCCACTTTTACTGTTATTATTTCTTTATACTTACTTTGGGTTTAATTTGATCCTTTCCTAGTTTCTTAAGGTATAAGTTTAGATCATTGAGTTCACATCTTTTTTCTCTAATAAAAGCATTTAGAGGTAAAATTTTTATCTTTACTACCTTTAGTTGCAAATCACAAAGTTTGATATGTTTTATTTTCATTACCATTCAGTTTAAAATATTTTCTAATTTTCCTTGCAATTTCTTTAGTGGCCCATGAATTTATAAGTATATTATTTAATTTTCAAATAATGGGGCATTTTCTAGTTATTATTGATTTCTAATTTATATGTTGTGGTCATAGAATATACTTTGTGTGATTTAAATAAAGCCTTTGGTTTTTATTGAGACATTTTATAACCCAGCACTTGAAAAGAATTTGGTTGTGTATTATTCTGCTGTTGGGTGTAGCATTTTGTACATGCCAGTTAGGTTATTTGATCATGTTTAGATCTCCCTATATTGTTACTGATTTTTTTGTTGTTGTTAGACCATTTGGTATTTTCTCACAAATCATGGATACTTCATTCTGTTATTTTTTCCTTTTTATATTTCAGTTTTGTTTTTTTCTATTGATCTGAATCCAAGTTCACTCATTCTTGATCTTGAGTTCAATCTGCTGTTAAAGACATTGGATATTATATTTTTCATTTCTACAATTTCTGTTTGGTTATTTTGTAATTTCTCTCTCTATGCTGAAATTTCCCAACTCTTCACACACATGGTCCAATATTTCCACTAAATCCTTTAGCTTTTTTATAATAAAGTCACTGCCTGATAATTCCAAAATGTGGGCTATTCTCTGGGTTTACTTTTTATATGTTTCTATTCTTCAGTATGTATCAAAAATTTTTTGTATCTTTTAACTTCTTTTTGCTACCCTGTGGCAAAAACCTTCAAGCAGGGTTTCTTCCTTTTTTATACATAATTTT